ATCCGTTTATCTTCAAAAATTCAATTTCTTAACCTGCAAATTAAAGCCCCTTTCACTTTTTTTTTTATGATCCATCTGCAATATCAATTCTCTTTTACGTACGCGTCATTGTTTACGGTGCTTAACAAATCTAAAAACTGGCACAACTCACAATTGACAAGCTCACGAGGATTTTAGTGTCAAAACCTGGGGGCAAGACAGCTGCACTCAGAGTAAATATATTTGTAGCGAGTAAATTTGAGTTACTCATATTTACTCAAAAATGAACAAAGTAGTCTCGATTTTCTGATCAAAGAAATATCGTCTGACAGCATATTTCGTTAAAGCATCTGTTCGCACATTTGACAGATCGAATCGCTCGTTTAACAAATCGAATTGTGGACAAACGAAATGCTACTGTGGTGCTTTGACTGCACGATGGTTTTACGGGGCTTGGATGCCTTTCAGGTGCCTTCCCTCGTTGGTGAGGATTGACATGGCCTACGACGATACAGGAGTGACTGGAGTGACCCGTTCCAAAAGGGGAATGCTCCTTTTCGGTTACCTGAGGTACAACCTGAGCTTGAAACTTCGTTCGCGGTCAATAGAATTGGTCCTTGACTGCTGATTGTGGTATATTATGTAGCTGCTGAATCTAGGCCAGATTAGGTCAGCTCTGGCCAGCTTCGACAGCGGAAGAAAACCACTTCAACTTTAGCGCTTTGCCAGCAATCGTAAATGTATCATTGAAAAAGCGTTGCCAGATGTATTGCCTCTAGCAATGAATTAAAGTTTATTAAAACAAGCAATTGTAAAGTTTGACTCGATGTATTTAATGGTGAATAAATATCAAAAACTGAATAAATTTAAAAAAAACCATTTTAGGCATTTTTGCGGTCCAATTAAAAAAACTACAGAAGATTGAATTTAACGCTAACAGAAGAGATGGTAGCAGTGCCACAAACTATATTGCTCTAAGAATTGAATTTATTGAATTAACTTAGCCTAATCCAAACCTATCGCACCACCCAAAAAGTCCCTACACAGAAATTCCAAGAAAGCACGTCAACTAACTTTGCTTGACAGCATCGGTTTCAACGTAATTTTCAATGTAACAATCAGGTTGCTATGAGTATATAAGACATTGTGCAGCGTGAGTTACTCAGAGTTACTCAAAATTAACTTCGGTTTTACTCATGATCGATAGCTGTCTTGCCCCCAGGTCAAAACAAATATCTTTTCAACGTTATTACGTTTCGTGTGAAAAGTGAAGCGAAGAATCTTAAATTTTTGAATTGCTCCGAAAAATTGCAAGGACCATCATGGAACCAACAGGTGGAACTTCGACGAATCAGTGCGAAACCGAACTTTTTTTCAGTGCAAACCTCAACCTGAGCTGGGTTTTAAAAGCAAACGATCAAACTGACGTTTGTCCGAAAATAAGCAGATCCAATCTTGATACCCGATCCAGGTTGGAACTGAATAATAAACGAATTCGCTATTAATTTTAGCGAAGATTTATTGAAACACATTGCGTTCCCTTACGGACTTCAAAGTAATGATTTGAAGTTTTCTTTGTTGATAGATACCAATGATTGCTTTGATTGCTAGCCACAATTCCAATATTTAGAGGGGAATTCCTATTTAAGCAAGGATTGTTTATATTGGTTTTGCTTTTTACGGATCCCTTGATACTTGAGCTTCGGTAATGTGGATACGATATGCGGTCAGCATCCTTATTCTTGGAACTCAAGCGGCACGGTATCCGAAAAAATGAATAGCTGCAAAATCTCTATCCATGAATAAGCATTCGTGACTGCAGGTAGTACGTGTTCATGCTGATATGAATTCTTACAATAATAATCATTGGTTATGGTACGATTGTATAACGCAAGATAAGACTTTTCCCTTGATATATCACAGCTATCGCCTCATCCATGATTTTGGAAGGGGAATGACCGTCATAACCGTATTTATGCTCGAAATTAGATGACGGTCAATTTATATGTCTGTTTATATTTCCTCGGTAATATGATGGTAACACATCCCAAGTAACATTGCAAGTTTTATAGTGGTTTTAAAGCATGCTACAAGTCTAAATCATGGTCTACAGAACCCTCATAAAACCAAAATTGTTACTTGAGATGGCAGATGTTAGTGATATTGCGAATGAGTGAGAAAAGCAAAACAACGATATCTCACGGTTGTTGTGTCATACTGGTGAGAAGTTTTACGGAGAGAGGGTTCTCAGTTGTTTTGATTGTTAACTGTAGAAATCTCTTTTGTCAATCTAAAGGCTGTCAGTACCGTGATGCAACTCAGCACTGGGTTCAGATACTGCATAAAGAAAATGGAGGACACATAGAGCAACTATTGAAATAAATTTATGAAAGAAACGAAGTTCAGTGTTTCAATTTAATTAATCATTGGAAAATACCCAATCAGTTCAATGAACTGATCTACATTGGTATCGAGAAAAAAAAAACAGAACATTTTCAATATTCATCATGCGTTCAATTGAACAGCATTGTTTTTCTTGTTACAATTTTCATACCGTCGTTCCGTGTGGTGATCAAGTGTGCTGTGCGCGCTGGAAACAGACGTCAACAGCAACGCACGTTGGGGTTGAATTCGTGTTTTAAGCAGCCGTTAATTAACGACGAAATAATAATTGAAAACCCATAGGAAAACACAAGTTTTTGACTCGTTTATCCCTAAAAGACAGACATTATTAGGCAGGAAATTTACCAAACTGTACAATGAAGGCAAGATTTTTGTGCTAAATGGCATAGTTTTCGAGTAAGAGCCTATTTTTGGCAAGCATAGACCAAAACAGAAAAATATATAGCTCAGTAATCTTTGAGATTTGATCATATGCGTAGAACAATTTGTACTTCTAATGTGATTTTCTATCGCTTCTTAAATTATTTGAACTAAGGAACCGAACACCCTGTATAAGGCTTGTACTCGAAAAAAATACACCATTTTTATCCGTGTGTAACTTTTTGATCCGTGAGTAAAAATTGATAAAAATCTACGTATAACTAGTTTGGAGTGAAGTGTTTACATGTGCAAAATTTCATAACAATCGGTTCAGTGGTTATTGAGATGTCATCGAAACAAGAAGAAAATCGCCGGAGACCATGAGATGGATCGGAAGACAACTGGGAATCACCCATACAACTGTGTCTCGGGTGGTAAAATCGTTTAAGGAGTCCCAGACGACCGAGCGGTGGGCTGGAAGGGGAAGACAATCGAAGACAGCTGACGCTGTGAAGGCCCGGAAGGTGTTGGATTATTTCAAGCGTAATCCGAACCTTTCGATTCGTGACGCGGGTCTGAAGGCAAAGTATTCCGCCTGGTTCGTTCAGCAAACCATGAAACGAGCTGGGCTTCGTGTATTCAAGGTCCGGAAGGCACCGAACCGGCTTGATCAACAAAACACGGCGGCCAAATCCCGCGCAAGGAAGCTGTATCGAGAGTGGTTAACGAAACCAATGTGTATGGTTATGGATGACGAAACCTACATCAAGGCAGACGCAAAGCAGATACCGGGGCTGGAGTTCTACGTTGCCAAATCACGATTTGATGTGGATGAAAGTGGACAAATTCGCCAAAAAATACTTGCTCTGGCAAGCCATATGCCGATGCGGTAAACTGAGTAAACCGTACATCACGATGGGTACCATCAACAGCGAAATTTACCGCACCGAGTGCCTCCAGAAGCGTCTGATGCCCTTACTGCGGTCCCACGGAGGCGAGACATTACGCGCGATCGACGTTGGATTGGTACAGAGACAATAACGTTGTTTTTGTACCAAAAACCGCCAACCCCTCAAATTCACCAAGGATTCGTCCGGTGGAAAGATTTTGGGCCATAATGAAGGCCGAGGTTCGAAAATCGTCCGAGGTGTTTAAGAACGAGCTGGAGTTGAAGAAAGAATGGATGAAAGTGACCAAAAAGGTCGGCTCCACCATTGCACAAAATGTAATGAGGGTTCTTAAGGGAAAGGTGCGGGCTTTCAGCGATGGAAAGGAAATTGAATAAAGTAATTATGCCGAAACATATTCCATATGTATGTTCATTCCCTGAAAGTTTCAAGAAAATAAGACTTAAAACAAATTTTTGGCGAACACTTTTGTCTGGTGCATTTTTTTTTTTGAGTACTGGCCTTAATGCGTATATAAGATGGCGCAACTTGATGATTTTCGTTTTAGCGCCATCTAGTGAGTTTATTATGTCATACGCTATCCATAGTGTTGAAGTCCTTGTATTTGGTAGGAATCTCGTGATAAACATCTCTAACATCGAAGGTCTGATAATTTAAACAGAAGTCCACTAAATTTACTCGGCGAATCATTTTAAAGTTGAGAAATCCATTTAAATTTCGTTAAGATACGACAATTTAAATGTGGAGTCAAATTGACCCCAGGATCGCATTCCAATAAAAAATTTAAAATAAATGTTTTTTTTCAAGATTGTTGAAGGGAATTTCATCAGAGAATGAATTAAAATTCATCTACAAATGAAAAAGTTGCTTGTTTTTCAAAGTGACCTGTTGTCAAATTGGATGAAAGTTATAAAACAATGCTATTCAACCGAGATAATGTTGTAGAGCCATAAGTAAAATTTCATAGCTTATACACATAAATTAATAGTTGAAAACGAAATTTTTCCAATCAAAATCAGTCAATCGAAGACGCTATTATTTCACCAGCTCTGACTCCGACTACCCAGATCGTAAATTTCCTTCCAACTCTAACCCTGGTAGGTTTTCACGCATATTTTGATGTTTGATTTTCCTTGAATTACTTTCATATTGAGTAAGAAGCATTTCCAAATATCAAATCAGATATGTGCGTCATTTCGACGAATTCACCGAAGATTCTGGATGCAATTCCCCGTGTATACAATCCACACATCTGTTCCACAATCCCTTTGAGAGTCAAATTGCCGCAAAGCACTAATACGATTTCATTTCACATATATGCAACATTATCCATCCCCACTGCTTGCCAACCTTTGCAGAAAGGTAACCGTCGTCGTCGTCGTCGTCGTCGCCGTCGTCGCCTCCGCTGTCACGTAATTATTGGCGTTTGCTCACGGGGCACGTTGCCAACTTCCCTAGGAGCTAGGAATCATCCGACTTATACGATTGCCCGATTCTACACGTACATCACATCACTAATCCCCTTCCCGAGCACACGGAGACTGGCCTTTTTTCTTCCCCGTCAACATCCGAATGAATCCTACTTCTGCTGCTTCACGTCACGCCTAATGCCCCATGACACATACGTTTGGGCCTTCAGCTTTGCTTCCTACCCGTTTCATAAATTTATCATCTTCTTAATTCAATCTCGTCACAGCATCACTTTCGTTCTCCTAAGAACACCCCACTCCTGGTCGCCTCGGGAACAAGTTGTTATCCTTTTAGCTCCCGCCGCCCGCCCGTACCAGAACTGGAGCTTCTTAAATAGCACTGAAGAACGATCCCGGTTCACACACTAGAACGGAATTTAATATTTCTACCCTCCTCGACCAAATGGGAGGAGTGGCTTTTGCCTTTTCGATTCACTGTCTTCCCATATGCAGCTGACCGTATCTGCTCGCGCCGTTTATCACGCTGTTTTTATGTGGGAATGTCCATCCTCTCTCACACTGTTATTTCCTCCTAAATGCTCCTCGTTTTTTTTATCAAACTACATTATCATCCGGGGAGGGAGGAAAAAAAACGGCGAGTTCACATCCACCACACACATCCTTCCGGGACAGAACGACTACGACTGCGACCGCTAGGAAATCGGTGGCGGCCGTGATTGGAAAAGGGTTCGAGATCACTACCATTGGGGGCAGCAGGAGGAGCCCATTCTCATTCGCACCTTCCACCAACCGTTCGTATCCAACTACACGCGGAGCAGTGGGGAATAGGATCCCGGAGAATGTGTTATTCCTTTTTTTTTCCTGCCACTCAACTGTTCCAATTGCACACAGTTATAGAAGAGGGGGTTGTGGGTTGTTTGGTCTGTTGGCGCAACACTGGATATCGTTCGCGGTTTTACTTCCGTTTCTTCAGAGATCCCGACCGAGACTGACTTCGCTGCGTGCGGGAGGAAACCTGTTATCGTTCTGCTGCTGCTGCTGCTACTACTCGGAGGGAGGCTGTTCCTGTGAGCGGGAGAGGAATTGTTGGGAGAGCGAGAGCCGAGTGTCCTTGCTCTCCGACTGGGGTGGGAAAATCGGCGAAGAGAGTCCAAAGGTGGTGGTTTGTGTGCTTGGTCAGCCGGGGTTGCTGTAATGGGAGAAGGAAAATCGTTGAAATCGTAGTCCTGGCGTAACGGTTCTCTATCCAAGGTGGATAACTTGTTGGGGGAAGTGGGTGCTGAACCGAACACCAGGGGTGACGGATTATCCAGGTTTGAGTGATGACTGTTTATCCCTTGGCGGAGCTTTCATTCTAGTACTGCAATCAAGGTATAATTTTGTAGGTTATTCAGGGATGGATCGCTCTTGGGAGCATCGTTCATTACTTTTTAATAAGTGATATATTGACCATATATCACGGATATAGTTGAGCTATGAAATGGAATTTCCGTGGAATATTTTTAAGCTGCAAGTATTTTTTCGTGTTTCGTTTCGTTTAAATCAGACAGTTTCGGATTAAAATACAGCCATGCTAAAGAAATTTCACGGAATTCCGCGGAATTTGCATGATAAAACATAACATGTTACCTTAAGATGTTAGTAGGAAATGTTGACCAAATTGTTGACAGCCCAAAAGTATTCCCTCCTTCGATAAGGGGAAGATGGGGATTCTTGATTCTCGATTTTATTTTTCTAAAATGTGGAACGGCCAAAAACTGGTGGACTATCGTGCACTTAAAAAATTTGAACACCTCTCATTTTGTAGGTTTGTGCGTACAGAATATTGCCTCTATTTTGTTATTGCCATTTACCATTAAGTTGTCAAAATGGCGTCGAAGCAAGAGGAACAGCGTTTCAAAATTTTACTCACGCATAAGCAAAATCCCATTTTTTCCGCAGACTTGACAAAATCGCTTATTAAAGTGTTTGGGGAACGTCTAACAACTGCTAGAAAACCAAAAATAGGAGGTAGCCGAAACCAGGATGCCGCCGCGACCGGTAGAAGAGTGGTCAGCGTTCTCATGCGTAATCCTACCCTTTCCATCGGAGCTGTCGGAAAGAAGCTGGGAATATCGCACACCACAGCGCAAAGAGCCAAAAAAAAAAAAACGAGCCGGCCTGTCAACATCAGCACCTCAGAGCATTTCAAGCAGCTCCCAGGTTAAGAGTTTTACGCGGCTACCGGAAAAGGACAAGTTCAAGATAAGTTTTAGCAGAAAAAGTTGGCAGGCGATTTACACATGTGGGCTGAAAAGCGGAATTTTCGTGACAATTGGCACTGTTAACCAAGATATTTATGTAAAGGCATGTTCTCAAAAACGTATGTTGCATTTTTTGAAGAAACACAGTTATTACGTGCTGTTTTGGCCAGACCTCGCTTCCTGTCACTACGGAAAAATGGCTCAGGAATGCTATATCGTCAACAACGTCTAAGTCGTACCCAAGGACAAAAACCCTCCAAACTCGCTGGAGCTACGCCCAATTGAAAAATATTGGGCAATCTTAAGCGGAACCTCAAGAGAACTCCGAAAAAAAGTTGAAAATAAGAAACAGTTCTGTTACCGTTTGTAACATTTGTTGATGTATTACTGTATGTTTATCGTATTCTGCATGTCCATTTGAATTTGAATAATAATTGCCAATTTGACACCCCTAGTTTTAATACACTATACAGTACCACAGTTTACTATCAACTGCTGGAATAGGTGATGAGCCAACAATTTGAGTTCAGTGGAACATACAAGAAGTACAGAGAAAGGGAACGGCGAGTAGCACGGAAACTTCTTGCAACACTTGCCAAGTAACCTTAAACGAGAGCAGTTGAACAAGCTAAAAAAACCGTTAAAATTATAGTGAAGAAAAGTGAGAGTGTCGTAGTACCATGAGTGGAGAGAGAGAGTCAGGACCCGTTAAGTTTTCTTTCTAAGTACGCTCGATCGAGGTGTTCGGCCAGATCACGCCGACAGGCCTTCCGTGGGCGATTGACCGTTGGAGAGCCAGTTCCGTTCGACGGCCCGGAGATTAGGACCACTTTGGACCTTTCCGTTATACTAGTGGTAGTTCACCGACCAGGGGTTGGAAGCTCGAAGTCATCTGAACGAGTTCCAACCAGATTCGTACCCCGATCGTTCCCGCAGGGTCACAGAATCCTGAGAGGGACCCACCAGAACCCACTCCCACCGAAGAAGCTACCTCTCCACCGTCCACCATTGTGACTTGGCATACCTACTAGCGCCACCAAACGCCCTTACTCAACCACCGTCACCATGACAAACACCGTAGTCTCCAGTGTAACCACGGCCAGCGTCACCGCCGTAATTGCCGCCACGACGAACGTTAACAATGCCGAATCCACACAGCATCACCACCGCCGTATCAACCACTACCACGTGCAGCATCACCGCACAAAAGATCCAGCAGTCGCCGGTCGGCCAGGTATCTGTAGAAAACCTACACTATACACGCCACACACACACACACACACACACATACACACACAGCATGTAATTTGTAGGGAAATAAACATCTAGGGCCTTATTACGGGTGTCACTACACGGCGATAAGCAAGTGAAACTCAGAATAAGAACCGTGATTACCGTACAAATCAAATGGGAATCACTTCACCGTGACGACAAGTGACAAGTTTTCACCGTGAAGTGACATCCGTAATAAGCCCCCTAAACAGTAGCTTTCTCCATTTAATCACAGTATATCCGAGTCCTGATTAGCCCGGTCAATCACTCCAGCCGACCTTGAGGCTAAGAATTGAACTCCAGATCGAGCTAGCCATCAAAAGAGGTCGTTGAATGACCCACCCTCATTGGTAGGCCGTTGCTTAGCCAAGCCCGTCGAGGTGTTTGTCCTGGTAGCCCCCTAGGTACCCCACCCTAGCAGCAACAGTTCAAAGCAATTTGGCGTTCAGCAGCAAATAAGGTTGATACAACAGCGGTACAAAATCTGATGGATGGTGTGAAACGTAAAGCCCTGCAGTTCGCATTTGGCAAGACGGATGCCTAATACAATAATATTCCTGTATTTTGTAGCCGTCGAATATTAAAAAGAAATAAAGTTTGATCATTTATATAATAACATAATCGGGGGCGACCCCGGCGTAGTGGTAAGTATCCATACCTCTCACGCCAAAGTCACGAGTTCAAATCTCACCCCCGGACAAGTCACGAATGACCCAAGAGCGTTAAAGTGACTATAATAAAAAAAAAAAATAAAATGAGTGTGCACTTAATTATATTTGACCAATTTTTGACCGTTCCACCCTTTAATATCTATACCAGTTTTGCAATTCAACCATTTGGTCTGTCACATCAAAGAGTCGTTACTAAGATACCGTTTAATGACCAGTTGCTAGCAGTTGATGAACAGTTTTGATGGGACTTGAGGCAGCTTAGATCAACGAAGGAGAAAGATAAAGAAGAAAAGTGTTAGTGGAAAACAGACTCGACTAAGACAGGACCGATGTTAAGAGATTGTTAATACTAAAACTTGAGAAAAAGTTATAGAAAATAGTAAATATAATCGGAATGCCGTTACGAACAGGACAACGTTAATTTAGGGCAGATCATATTAGATCAAACCTGCTGTAGAATGGGGAGGGGTAAATACTCTGGAAATGACGTAAAGAAAATCAACTTAATGTTGGTGGATTCCTTTCGAAGTCACAAACCGGAGTTTCGGATTTTTCTTAGAAGCTAAATACGAAGATCATTTAAATGTTACAATAGATGAGGTAAAAAAGGGAACTGCAGAATCAGTCCGCATCGTGCTCTCTTGCCGTGCGGATCTATTTGCTTTTGCTGAAGCAAGTGTTACTACTACCTAAAGCTACAACAAATTTAAACAGCACTTTTCAGTGCTCAACCTATAAGAATTTTCTACCTTGTTCAACTCTTATTC